CACGTGACTTGCTCTGTGACAGTGTCAAAGCTAAGTGTTTGGCCCAGTGTTTTGCAAGGGAGACGTGAATGTTCACAGCTCTGTATAAGCTCTGACTGGAGCAATTTAGAGCTTAGACAGGGTTGTCTTTCCTCATTCTTGGCAGCAAAATGGAGCGGCAAGGGAGCAGAGCAAAAAGCAACTTGCTGATAAGGAGGGGGCATTAAATGAACCTGTTGCTTCGCCCTTCACTTGTAAAAATGAGTTGAAATGACAAAAAAATAACAGCCAACTTTCTGATAGCTGCTTGTGATGTGTTTCATTTAATTCTTTCAGCAGGATTATGTAGGAAAGGCAGGATTTCATTTTGCTGGGCTTGGGATATGTGTACAATGCATATTTTACAAAGTCAACTTGTGGTTAATGCAACCACATTTACTAAGCATATTTAAAACTCAAAATGGTGAAAAGACCACAGGTCTGGACAGAATTCAGTCCACTCAATACCAGTAATATTCCAAACGCCTCAAGAAAAATGACAATCACGCTCAACTGTAATGTACTTTTGGAGAATATTTATTACAAGAGACTGGAAAACATAAGGATATTTTATCTGCTATTTGATCTGAATGGGAATGCAGGTTTTTGTGGTTTTGTATCCACTTGTTACTACCTTTTTGCTACATATTAAGTGTTACAAACATCCATACGAGTCCTTACTATGGCCATTACAGTCACTTCCTTATATTTTTTGTGATACGGTTTGTGTCAATGACGGCCTTCAGTAACAACTGATATTGGGGATCTCATCAGTAAATAGTACCATAATTAGGGCAACCTGGAAGTGCACTCTAAATAACGATGCTGCTGTTCAAAAAACTTAAAGTGTATCTAAAGCCACACTTTTTTTTCTAAGTTTTGTATACAGGATGGAATTTTTGAAACTCTTGCCAAGGATATTTTTCTGTGTCCAGTTTAGGGGATTTTGCTTTATGCTAGGTTCACACTATTGCGGTTTCCCTTTGGCCACATTTGCGTGGCCACAGTAGCCAATTCATTTGAATGTCCACTTGTACCTATGGAAAACACATGGAAATGGTCCCTGCAACTCCTAAAATTGCCACTGCAGGGAAACTGCATAGTGCTATGCATTTACCAGCATGGGAAAATGCACTGCAGGTTCCAGTATGTGGGGGTGCCTTTATGAATTAATGACATCCCCACAAGTCTGTTAACAGCGCTGTGTTTTTGGTGTTGAAAATTGTGTGATTTACACGCAGTACTGTACTCACTTTGATGTGAACCTTGCCTTACAACCTGTCTTGCAGACATATCAGAAAGACAGAGGAAATTTCCTCACAACGCTGATTTAGGGCATTCACACCATGGTGCAGAGGTCAGTTTTCGGCATCCGTTCTGCAAGGGCACAACGAAATCAATTGTTCTCTAGGTGCCCTGTTCACAACACATTAGTATAATGTGCAGATTTTTTCTGCGCAGGAATCTGCAAGCTGTAGAAAACTCATTGAAGCGCACATGAAAACTGATATCTCTGCAAGTGAAATCTGCATGTCAGTTTCCATCGGTTTTTCCGCACATATGGTGTGAATGAGGCCTTAGACAGCTGAAAAGAACCACCAAGAATCTGCATTTCTGTGTGGTGTGTAACACAGGCATTTGCAATCAGCCATTAATTTATTTAGGGTACTTAAAAAGCGCTGTCAATTTATGCAGCGCTTTCATTATATATTGTTCATTCACATCAGTCCCTAACCCTCAAGGGGTGCACAATCTAAGGTCCCTAACTTACATTCATACACATTCTAGGGCCAATTTAGACAGGATCCTATTAACCTACTAGCATGTCTTTGGCGTGTGGGAGGAAGCTGGAGTACCGGAGGAAACCCACGCAGGTACAGGGAGAACTCAGGCAGAAGGTGCTGTGGTTGGGATTCGAACCAACGACCCTAGTACTGCCAGGCGGAAGTGCTAACCATTTAGCCACTGTGCTGCCCCAGCCATGGTCAATAATGGCAGTTGGCATGTACCCACACATTACAGTGAGTGCTTACACGCGATTAGGGACACATGAACAGCTCAGGATGCAGATTTGTTGCATCCAGGGTTGTTCGTCTGTCCCTAACCACATGTAACTGCGTTTGCATTTGAAGAGCCGCAGCACTGGTCAATCTGTCATTGATTTGTACAGGCTACTGATCACAAACACCTGTGCTTCCCACTGCACAGAAATGCTGATTCTTGATGGCAAACAGACCTTAATGGCCATATGAATAAGCCCTTAGATCACTGTCTATGGAACAGCTGTCCCCTTCAGAAGATTTTCCCTCACCTCCTGCCTTGATGACAATGGGGTGTTCAGTGGTGAACAGGACAGACTGGGAGGGTGAATGTACTAAACTGACAGAGGTTCCATCCATGCCTTTAGACTGTCATTGCAGCCATGACCCACCAACCGATTCTCGTGTATTTCCGATGCCAAGACTATACACTACATACAGACATCTGGGGGGTCAGCATGAAGCTGAATGGGAAAACTGTCAGATGAGCAGCAGACATGTAAAATGTATTCTTTTTGTTTCCTTTCTTTGTTACATCTAAACAGAAGTTCTGGAAGCGTGTCATTGGTTAACCTTGTATGTTCTGATCACTCCTCCCCTGACCTTATGTTCACTATCTGCTCACGATCCCCGGATGCTGGTGGAATGGTGCAAGGGTGACATCACAGCTCCCAGCATAGACAATGCATTGCTTGAGGGGTGTCTGAGACTTAACCCCAACATCACCTCCTAGGAGGCCAAGCACGGGCCTGCCTCCTCCCAGTGATGTCACATTGGAAGTGTGAGCTCGGTGACGTCACGCAGCGCTCCCCGCATGGCCCGCCCCTTGCCGGTGTCTGCGGCTGCCGGAGCGGCTCGTCCAGTGGAACCTGTTGCTCTCCTCCTCGGGGCAGAGAGGCAGGATGTGATGGAGGAAGAGGAGGAGGAGGAGGGGAGAAGAAGGAGGCACGGCCAGCGAGCAGACAGCAGCCATGCTTGTGGCAGCTAAGTGGGAGGGAGGAAGGGGGCTGATTGATGGGCCCCGGTCTGCTCAGCTCTCCATTCTGGCTCGGTGCGGCGCCCCCTTCCTTCCTCATCACGCTCCCCCCATCTCCAAACAAACACCACCGGGCCCCCCCCTCCTCCCGTCACCGTTTGGGGGAGTTGAGATGTTGCCAGGCAGAATCTCTGCGACACCATTCCTTCTAGGGTGGCACGAGTTTCACCAATACACACGGAGGGGGAGGGAGGGCGCACACACACAGGGCCATCCAGCCGTGCAAGTTCTATGTATTCCTCCGATCATCTAACACATGACACGAACAAAGACACACGGCACTGGGGAACTTCAAAGTCATCCTCCATTCCCAGCCATCCCTGCAATGCGGATCATGGCTCCCATCCATCTCCTGTACAATCACACAGGACAGTGCGGGCACACGGCACCATCCGGCCTGACAAAGGGACAACTTTGTGCTGGCGTGTGATAGCTTTCTCCCCAGACTGCACACATCACAGGCCTCCCTCCCCCCTCCTCCTAGGAGACATTTAAACCTGCTGCAGGCTGCGCCGTGTGCGGAAACGGCCTTTTCTAAACATAGTCCTCCACCGGATGGTGACAGAACCCGACACAAAGGAAACCCCCCCACACCACACAACTTCTCACCCGATCCGGCCACAGATCGGCCATCTCACTGCATTGTGTCAGTCCGGGTCAGCGCACACGCACACACACACACACACACATACATACATACATACACCTATCCCCCCCCCCCCAATCTCCGGACCCCGGGGGGGCTGCCTCCAGGGGAGCCCCGCACAACAACCCCAATCCTCATCATCGTCCATCTACTCACATATTTCTTCTGGATGATATTCCTCTTGGGCCTTTCCTTGCTCATTCTGATCTCCTGATCGGGTCAGCACAAGACAGCGACTGACTCATGAATTAAAGCCCCGATAGCAAGAGGAGACGACAAGGTAATCCCGTTGATGGTGCTGGCTCAATGCTGGCTGCTGGTAATCCTCCGGCTTCGCGTAGCTTCTTCTCCCGTTCACCTTGAAGGCAATCCTTTGTGGGAAGAAACCCCAAGCCGGTCGATGCATACGACAAAAATATCACTTTAATAAAATGATCATAGTGGAGAGATTGGTTGTTGGAATCGCCTTGAGAAGGAAAGCTAGAAAGGAAAACGCCGCCCTGTGCTTTTTGTTGTTGTTAGTATTCACAGTCTCCAGTACAAATGGAACATGGTTTTGGCTTGTGATCAGCAGCTACATCTTGCACAGTAATGTCACCTGGGGGACTAGGGGTGGCTGCGCCTAAAAAAAGGGTGTGCATAAATAATAATAATAATAAAATAAAAAAAGCAAATGTTGGAAGTCACGTTTGAGCTGCAGAACTCTAGCAGCAGTGAGCTCTGCACTGTGTGTGTGTCTCTCCAGAAAGCGTTTTTTTTTTTTTCTCTCGGCTTCCTCCAGCCAATGGCAGCAAAAGCAGGGTGGTGTCTAGTTCCCATGCAGAGAAAGAGCCAGTGACGTCACCGTGACGTCAGCCCATCACATGGCCCCGGGATGGGAGGTTCTGCTTTTGGATGGCTTGATGCACAGAAGCTGATTAGGGAGAAAATAATGAGAGCAGGCTCAGTCTTACATGCCAAACAAACCATGGGCCATCACAGCAATGAGCATACTGCTTCCTCATCAGCCTCTTATACAGCAGACAGAAGGCTGGATTAATAATCAGAAAAAGTCAAGCTTCTGCTCAAAGCAACTCATTCCTGGAGGCTCAATTCACTAAGCTATAACGCATGCGGTATTTACCACAACAATTGTCCCTTACAGCCCAACTGATGAACATCTTGGTTCTTATTGCAAACAAAACCTTCAGGTCCCATTCACACTGCATCCCACATGTGTGCATTTTTATGCGTATTGTCACCAGGGGCGGACTGACAACTCATGGGGCCCCCAGGCATTAGGGGATCATGGGGCCCCTATGTCCTTGCCCAAACTCAAAAAAGCCTATGAAAAAGGTACCAGGGGCATCTCATGGGGCCCCCTACTGACCCCGCGCCCTCGGGCAGTGCCCGAGTTTCCAAATGATCAGTCCGCCCCTGATTGTCACACTAAATGAGCAGGGCAGCCATTCAAGAGGCTGTTCTACACATGATAAACACAACAAAGAAGTGATTTAACCACTTGCCCTCCAGAGGATTTACCCCCCCCCCCCCCCCCCCAATTCCTAACCAGGCCATTTTATGTGATACGGCGCTGCATTACTCTAACTGACAATTGCACAGTCATGCAACGCTGTACATATATTTATGTCCTTTTTTTCCCCACAAGCAGAGATTTATTTTGGTGGTATTTGATCACCTGTGTGTATTTTATAAAAAAGTGAGATTTTGAAAAAAAAAATATTTTGCTATAAAACATATCCAATAAAAAAGAAATCAAATTTCTTCATAAATTTAGGCCAAAATGTATTCTGCCCCATGTCTTTGCTAAAAAATATATCCCAATCCATGTAAATTAATTGGTTTTTGTGAAAGTTATAGCATCTACAAATGGCAGTATATACAGTATCACACAGAAGTGACTGCACCCTCACAATTTTGTAAATATTTTATTATATATTTTCATGTGACAACACTGAAGAAATGACACTTTGCTACAATGTGAAGTAGTGAGTGTACAGCTTGTATAACAGTGTAAATTTGCTGTCCCCTCAAAATAACTCAACACACAGCCATTAATGTCTAAACCGCTGGCAACAAGTGAGTACACCCCTAAGTGAAAATGTCCAAATTGGGTCCAAAGTCTCAATATTTTATGTGGCCACCATTATTTTCCAGCACTGCCTTAACCCTTGGGCATGGAGTTCACCAGAGCTTCACAGGTTGCCACTGAAGTCCTCTTCCACTCCTCCATGACGACATCACGGAGCTGGTGGATGTTAGAGACCTTGCGTTCCTCCACCTTCTGTTTGAGGTTGCTTCACAGATGCTTAATAGGGTTTAGGTCTGGAGCCATGCTTGGCCAGTCCATCACCTTTACCCTCAGCTTCTTTAGCAAGGCAGTGGTTGTCTTGCAGGGGTGTTTGGGGTCGTTATCATGTTGGAATATTGCCCTGCGGCCCAGTTTCCGAAGGGAGGGGATCATGCTCTGCTTCAGTGTGTCACAGTACATGTTGGCATTCATGGTTCCCTCAATGAACTGTAACTCCCCAGTGCTGGCAGCACTCATGCAGCCCCAGACCATGACATTCCCACCACCATGTTTGACTGTAGGCAAGACACCTGGTTGCCGCTACACATGCCTGACACCATCTAAACCAAATAAGTTTATCTTGGTCTCATCAGACCACACAACATGGTTCCAGTAATCCATGTCCTTAGTCTGCTTGTCTTCAGCAAACTGTTTGTGCATCATCTTTAGAAGAGGCTTCCTTCTTGGACGACAGCCATGCAGACCAATTTGATGCAGTGTGCAGCTTATGGTCGGAGCACTGACAGGCTGAGCCTCCCACCCCTTCAACCTCTGCAGAAATGCTGGCAGCACTCATACGTCTATTTCCTAAAGACAACCTCTAGATATGACGCTGAGCACATGCACTCAACTTCTGTGGTCGAGCATGGCGAGGCCTGTTTTGAGCAGAACCTGTCCTGTTAAACTGTATGGTCTTGGCCACCATGCTGCAGCTCAGTTTCAGGGTCTTGGCAATCTTCTTATAACCTAGGCCATCTTTATGTAGAGCAACAATTCTTTTTCTCAGATCCTCAGAGAGTTCTTTGCCATGAGGTGCCATGTTGAACCTCCAGTGACCAGTACGAGAGAGTGAGAGCGATAGCACCAAATTAACACACCTGCTCCCCATTCACACCTGAGACCTTGTAACACTAATGAGTCACATGACACTGGGGAGGGAAAATGGCTGATTGGGCCAAATTTGGACATTTTCACGTAGGAGTGTACTCACTTTTGTTGCCAGCAGTTTAGACATTAATGGCGGTGTGTGTTGAGTTATTTGAGGGGACAGCAAATTTACACTGTTATACAAGCTGTACACTCACTACTTTACATTGTAGCAAAGTGTCATTTCTTCAGTGTTGTCACATGAAAAAATATAATAAAATATTTATAAAAAATGTGAGGGTGTACTCACTTCTGTGAGATACTATATACTGGAATTTTTTTTTATATACTAGTAATGGCGATCAGGGACTTTTAGCAGGACTGCGGTGGGCATTCTGACACTGGGGGGGAACTGACTAACTGCCACTTACATCCTAATGACACTAGTACAGTGATTAGTGCTAATAAAAAGCACTGACACTGTACTAATGACACTGGGCAGGAAGGGGTTAAGATCTGGGTTGATCAAAGGGTTAACTGTGTGCTGTTTTTTACTATATGTGCGGTGTGTGTTTTACCAGGGAAACATACTGCTGTGCAGAGAAATACACAGCACAGGGGTGGACTGACCATTTGGAAACTCGGGCACTGCCCGAGGGCCCGGGGTCAGTAAGTGGCCCCATGAGATGCCCCTGATACCTTTTTCATAGGCTTTTTTGAGTTTGGGCAAGGACACAGGGGCCCCATGATCCCATATTGCCAGGGGCCCCATGAGTTGTCAGTCCGCCCCTGACACAGCAGCATATTACTGCTGGCAGGGGGGGAGACTTTTGTTGTTTACATACAGGCCTCTCCCCTGTCAATGAAACTGGGCGATCACCAGTTACTGGCAGAGAATCTCTGGCTGGGACCCGGTGATCAACATCTGTAGTGACACAGGTAGGGCAGTGCACACCACCTACCCAGAAATGAAAATCACATGCAAGCATGTATACGTGATTTTGAGCAGCCCTGCCGCCCTGTAGCAGTAGTTCTGCTATAGGGCGGTCAGGAAGCAGTTAAGTTTTGCTGCAGTAGTTGCACATTTTTTCACACTCAAAAACATGTCTATTTACAGCTCATTAACAATGGATGGCACCCAGGGTCCAACATACGTTTAATGCATGCTTCATGGATGCACACAAAATCACACAACTTTGCACACCTTCATGTGCTACTATAGTGTGAATACAACCTAACAGACTAGCGAGCACAGCCTTGCGTCACTTGCTTAGCCAATGAAAGATAACATCTGAATATTTGGTATCAGTTATAACTTTGTGTTTATTTTTTCCATAAGTTTGAGTTTTAAACAGAAAAACAAACAAATAGAAAGCCATAGTGGTGACACTAATACACAACAGTGATGCTTATGACTATCACTAGATACTTGCACAGGGAAAACAAACAAAGAGAAAAAATTAAAGTAATGTGTGCAGACAAGACTTTAGCAAAAGCAAAGATTGAAAACAGATGAGGTCACTTTTTGTATGTGAGTGATAAATCCAAATAAACATTTGATACAAGATAGGTTGTTTGTATAGAGCAGTGCTGGGACAAGGTCATCCAGCGCCCAGGGCAAAGATGCCAAACTGCACCTTCATGTCAGCCTTGTAACAGAAGGTAGGCGCCCCAATGCCTTCCGTAAACCACTGCGCCCAGGGCAGCCTCCCCTCCCATTAATCCCTTGTGCTGTCCCTGGTATAGACGCTGGTAAAATGTAGTAGGCATACAAATAAACTATGTCCAAAGCAAACAGGGAGAGGTCACTACACTTTACAACAAGATAGAAGCAAAACAGCGGTAGAGTTTCTGCTGTCAAAAAGCCAAAAACCTTTTTCCATTATATGAAAAAAGCACAAATTTACAGTGCACCTCTATTAGAAACTCTTACATGCCATTATGGCAAAATGTTGATCCTATAAAACAGTGCAGTTGTTTTAAGTCAGCAAATGTCTACATCAAGAGAAAACTAGAGGTAAGGAGAGGAGAGAAAAGCACAGGCAAGCCAAGTATTAGGAATGATGTGTGTGCTATCAAATAATCTAAAATGTTGTTTTGAACTCTGCCAAGGCTTGGCTATTGAACAAAAATCCTTGGGAACACCTTAAGGAGTGCATGTCACCACCCAATGAATTGGGGAGGAATGACAATTCAATTGTGGACCGGTTTGTGAGTTAGACCCATTAGGGAATGCAATGGCACAGTATTCTGCAGTTGTTTTATATTGTATCCAACAGGAACACCATTTATAAAACTCAGAAATGTGCTCATGGGAAATGCTAATAAACTCTTCCATTTCTTCCACCTCAAGCTTCAATAGAAACCAGGCAACATTCGGCCCATGTGTAGGGCAGTCGCTCCAACCCAACAGAAGCCGTCTGGTTTCTGTAGAAGGGGCATGACCAATAAAGGTCTCCTGATTGGCTCCTGATCAGTGCTCTCCCCTGTCAGAACACAATAACACAGCGGGGGGGGGGGGGGGGGGGGGGGGGGGGGGGGGGGATAGTTTGTACAGTGGCTCCTCCTAAGCTGTCAGGTTTTTTTTTTTTTCATTCAGCCCGCAGGGTTGTAAAAGTGTGAATGAGGCTTTATTCAAGATTGAGAACCAGTCCTTCAATGTCAGTTTCCACTGTTGTCTGCAGAACATCGGGATACATTTATAGGAGCAGAGTTTTTCATATGCATAATGAGAGATTTTGTGTAAAGGCTCCTCATCACTGTCAAATGATGCAAAATATATTGGTACAGGGAAAATTCATAAGGGTAGCTGGTTACTTTCAAAATGATACCATGTACCTTTGCCCAGTATGAGCTTAAAGTAGGGCAGTCCCACCAGACATAAAGTAGGGAGCCTTCCGCAGCATTGTATCTCCAGCATGTATCGGGTACCTTTGGGAAAATTCTGTGCAGGTATGCCGGGGTCCTGTACCAGCAGGAAAAGAGTTTATAGCTGTGTTCCTAAACAGACACATTCTGTGAACATTTATGGATTATTAGGTAGATGGCTTCCCAATCACGAGGTGTCAGGGAGGTGGCAACCTCTGTTTCCCACTTGTTAGTACACTTTCTGTTTTTTTTTATATTACATGTATTTATATAGCGCTGACAATTTATACAGCACTCTTCATATTGAAATCTGACATCAGTCCATCCCCTTAAGGAGCTTACATTGTAAAGTCCTATCTTCCAAGCAGGGGCGGACTGACCATTTGGAAACTCGGGCACTGCC